TCGAGCTCCATGACCGTCAACAAAGCAACGCCCTCGCATTTTCAGCTGAAACAAATTATGAACAGCTCAGTGCAAGGGGCCCTCAATGTTAATAGCTACTATACAAGAATGAAAACGTTATGGGACGAACTTAAAACTTATTAGCCCGCTCCGGTATGCCATTGTGGAGGAATGAAAGCCTAGAATGATGAGTTTGACTAATTAAATCAAATTAATGACAATAACATTTTCGGTTAGGAAATGAAAGGAATCTTAACATTTGAAAGCAATTGACAATGTTATGACCAAATCATAACTGAAAAAACATTAGAAATGAAATTATAAGAAATACCAAAATTTCATGAAATAATTTGATAATTTGCTCTACAGTCAACGCAAAATATGTTTTTTAGTTCGGGAATAAAAGTTTTGAATGGCAACATGTTCCACGATGCTCAACTTTTTGAATGGTGGTATGCTCTAAGATGTTTAACTTTTTGAAGGACGACTCATTCCAAAATGTCTTATTCCTTATAACATTAAATATGGTGTAGTAATCATTGTATTTTGAGTGCAAGTTTTTTTAAGCTTGTTTACTTATGTTAAATTACCAGCATAAATAGAAATGTACTGGATGTTTTGACGTAGCTATATTACAAGATTAGCATTAATTATGTGGGTAAAATAAGAACTTTGTTGCTTATAATATGTATATAACAAGCCAACACGTGTATGACCAACTAGTTATTGTCAATTCAATGATGTTTTTTAACTTATAAAAATAGGTAAGTGATTTCTTTGGGTTGTTGTTGTGTGAGGTCTATAATTTTGATTTACCAAAATAATTCAATTTCTAGCATGTTTATATCTAAGAGAAGATGAAATTTGATTTATTAGAGAATTTTCTAGGCTATCAATTTTCATCAACTTAAAGTAAAATTTTCATCTGTATGTCTGAACTATTTATAAATTTATAAATGAATTTTATAATAATAATTTGTTAGTTTAGAGATGGTTTAAAAGTTGAGAACCAGATATGCATTGGGTAGCCTAAATGGGAAAGGAAATTCAATAAGTTGTATGTCAATCTTGTAGTCACTAACTTAAATTCCATATCTTTTTAGATTACTTAAATTCGTTGTAATTTAAGTTATGCAAGTTAAGGATTTTTTTTCTTTTTTATATTTTATGCCATTTTCGTGACAAAAAAAAGTGACTTTTGTGTATTTTGACTAGTATTGTGTCTTTTGGTAAGATGAAAATGACAAATCTGAAAGTAAAATGCATATTCATTTGAGTTACTAGTTGTATTCCAAATATCTATAAATACATCTTTCATCCTCAAAATTTTATAATCCTTAGTAACAACTAGCTATTATCATTATTGTCATATATTTTTTTTTTTACGGGAACAGTGAGGATGTCCTATAAGAAAGCTCAACCAAAAAAAAAAATTGGAGCTTAAGAACATGAGGAGTTCCTTCTTCAACCCCTAAATCCAAGTTACTTAAGAAAACAAAGCAAATTTGCATCCTCTGTGCAGTGTGGATAGGGTAATTATGATGTCTCCCGCAAAAAATTTCTTCTTTTGTTTTTCTGATGGTGATACAACCACAAACAGCCACCAGAATGATCACAAGGAATCAACATCAAGACTCAATAAGTGCTCTGTTCTGTATAATAACAACCAGTTGATGAAGTTGAGGCAATTATATTACTTGATGACCACCCCAATTGAGTTGCGCAAACCAAATGAGAAAATAAAAGTTAACTTCAATCTTCAATAAAGCTCGTGAAAGAATAAGTGTAATGCGTCAAGCACTCAAAAATGGGGTTTATACTCCATATGACAATAAACCTTTCAACAGTCTAGGTTCCTATTCTTCGGTTGATACTCATAGTCAAGGTGTTGGCCATGAGAATTAAAACCATTCACTTTGGGGATTATGAGAGGAGGCTAGGTCATTTTTCGTTATAAGTCTTCACTTTTAGATGAAATAATCTTTAGTCAAATTACCCTACAATCTCACCTGTTTATCATG